ACCGCGTGGTCGGAGGATATTTGTTTTGTTGGTCTACTGATAAGTGAGAGTCAATTCCATGAGTTATATAGTGAAACTATGTGTCGTGATTAGAGCGGCTGTTACTTATCTCACATATACACACAAACGAGAAGTATCGATAGCCCATTGTCGATCAATATATGCTGTGCTTGTATCTACGGGTAGAGTTGGTAAATTAGGAACACACTGATAACGTACGTTTAATGTATGGTCTCCGTGTGTTTTACATAGCGGAAGCACGAGTAATATATATGGGGTCGTACGTGTGGTATATAGAGGCAAATTGGGTAACATATATCGGTTCGTACGTGTGTTATATTGAGGAAGCTGGAGTTATTTCGATATAGTAATTTCCTGGCAAACGTCGACCGTAGTTCATTCCAAGAGGTCACACCGTTATGATCGAATATCCAACTTGAGATTCTTCGTACGCCGCAAAAAGTTCAGGATTGAATGGCAGTTTATGATTACACTTTTACAACAGTAAGAAGCCTGTGGGCTCGGAGAGCGCCAGGACCAGAGCGTGAGTTAGCTCACTGAACTCGGCTCAGATTCCAATTCAAATATTGCTTCTGGAACAGATCTGTTTCTTCAGAACGAGTATTAGATGTCCTCTCGTACTGGGCGGAAATTAGTTCAATCATGTTTCTGTTGCTTATTTTTTGTCAGCTATTTAACCTCCATGTTAAAATCATAAACACAGGAATGGCCAATTTGAATATTGGCTTCATGATCAGATTCCACGTGTTACGGTTCGATGGCATCACCATTAATATCAGGACTCTACAAATGCCTCTGAAATAGGGACTCATAATTAATGGAATGGTTCCACACACCGACGTCCCTTTGGGAGTGTAACCAAGTTGTGAAGAAGACATGTCGCGTAGCGTTGTGTCCAAGACATGTCGCGTAGCGTTGTGTCCAGCCCGGGTATCAGGGACAGGGTAGGTGACCAGTTTAAGGCTCCTGGTTTGTCGGACATTGCACACTGAGTTGACATTTAGAATGAAAAACTCCTTAATTGAAATCAATAGCAAAAAAGAAACAACTGAAAAAAGGTCCAAAGCATAAAACAACAAAACATGAATAATGAAAACCAAAACAAATAAACAAAAAGTAACAACATACAACAAAACAACAAATCACACACATGCTAATACACACCCACAAATAGAGCATTCGGAGAGTTGCAGCTAGCAAGCGTTCACTCACTATTTTCATGGGTAACTTGAACTGTATTTTGACAGAGACGAATGTCTTCCGATATTAGCTCATTTCTGACCTTGGAAGTGAATAAATAGCTGATGTTATCCACTGCTTCAAGAACGCAGCGTCCTCTGAAGCAGCACCAAGGAACGACATTCTATTGCCGTAGGTATAGACAGAGAAATTGATTCAAACTAGCATGATTCATATTCGTTCAATGTCACTACAAAAGGAAGTCAGCTCAAACAAAATCAAAGTGGAAAATGTAGGAAAGCTATAAAAACATGATGCCAGGTGTTCGCGAAATGAATCAGGACTAATCAATAAAGGTGTTACATGTTGCATGTGATTCCAAGTGAGGAATTATCAGCCATCACAAGTAGTATCAATTTGGTGTAGTGGAATTGTGTAGAAAACTAGGCAATTAGAAATATTTCACTACAATCAGAAACCCCCAAACTAGTTTGTATAATCAATAAGACCATGCAGGCTAATAGACAAGAACATTCGCAATACAGTTGCCAAACGCCGTCCCTCCGGGGCACGGTGGAAGGAACCAGACTAGGGGCAGGAGCAGCCAGGTCACGGCTTCTCACAAAGAGGCTAGCAGTTACAGCGATAGGCACAAACCAAAGAGATGGATGGTCATTACATTGATATCTTAGGCAGGCTGCGCGTGACCTTAAGTTTACAATCTCAGATCAGTACACATCTCATTTATAATAGCAAATGACGTAAGTATTGCACTGGACATGCATATGTGGCGAATCGCGGAAACACATGGGTATACTGTTACATACATTAGAAGGCACGTCTTATGTTTATATACGAGAGAGGGATGGTGGGAGATTTCAGATGGGGCTGGGAATATATATGTGGACACTTCATAATTTTGAAATAAAAAAACAAACAAAAAACTAAACCAAAACAAAAATTACAACCGAAATAATATGAGCCAAAATTTGTAGGATTTATTTTGCAACAATGCATTTTGGAGGCAGACAATCTTATCTCTTTTCAACAGTCTATAGAATATATAATGTTTATTGGAACAAAGGATTTACTTTCTTGGATAAAATACCAACCCCTCCCATAAAATCAGTTCGTCGATCCCTTACCTCCGATGATCTAATTCGACGATGTGCCTCCGACGTTCATCATGTCAGTTAATTACAAGGAGAACCTGCATCCAGAAGTCACACATGCCACGCCAATGGCGTTTGTCATGAGAATGAAGAGGAGAGAAAAAATTTGAAGGCGCCAGGCAGATTCAGTCACTAGTCAAACAATTTAACAAGCCTTACAGTTGAGTTGAAGACATCCATGCATGCTGTATAGCGGTATGAAACATATTCCTGTTATCTGGACATGGAAACAACAATAAAGTGGTACACTCCTGTTCACTGGAACTTTTGCATTACGAGTAATTAAGGTGTTCTGTGTATTATCATAATACTACATGATCCTGGATAGCAAAGCTAAAAAACATCCCTACCTATCCGATTTCTAGTATTTCGTTCACGCATGATTTCATGGTTACCTCACACCATCTGAAAGTATACTACAAATATACGCCATCGTTTCCAATTTTGCCTGAATATAAATACAGTCACCACAAATGCTATACAAGGCTTTAAAGAGATCCAGTGTATTCCAATTGAAAAAAATCGTTTCTGAAAATAGGATACATTTACATATATTATCGAAAGCATAGTAACTCGACTTATTAGAAGGCAAAGTTATTAGATATTCTATTTATATAAATGTGATCCGTGGCATGGCGAAGACTTCGCTGCCAAATGAGGAGAAACCAAGTCACTTCAACCCTTGAAGTTGTGTATGCTCAATATGTCTCAACTGTGAAATAGTTTTTAATTTGTCTGTAGGTAGATGCTACGGATATGCATGATGTCGTAATAATTCCGACTTTAACAGGGTAACCTTCATCAAGAACATGCCAGTTAATATTATCTATCACCTTGGAAGAAGGTATCAGGTTGAAGTTTGAGGACGTTCATACAACAGGGTAAAGGATTGTGAATCATGAATCATACGTTACCCTAATGGTATGGTCTACATACCCCCTGCAATAAAATAGTACAACTTAAACATGACTCTGGTAACACACACCTTTAACACCTTTAGAAATATTTCACTACAATCAGAACCCCCCAAACAAGTTTGTATAATCAATAAGACCATGCAGGCAAATAGACAAGAACATTCGCAATACAGTTGCCAAACGCCGTCCCTCCGGGGCACGGTGGAAGGAACCAGACTAGGGGCAGGAGCAGCCAGGTCACGGCTTCTCACAAAGAGGCTAGCAGTTACAGCGATAGGCACAAACCAAAGAGATGGATGGTCATTACATTGATATCTTAGGCAGGCTGCGCGTGACCTTAAGTTTACAATCTAAGATCAGTACACATCTCATTTATAATAGCAAATGACGTAAGTACTGCACTGGACATGCATATGTGGCGAATCGCGGAAACACATGGGTATACTGTTACATACATTAGAAGGAACGTCTCATGTTTATATACGAGAGAGGGATGGTGGGAGATTTTGAGATGGGGCTGGGAATATATATGTGGACGCTTCATAATTTAAAAAAATTAAAAAATAAATAAATAACATCAGAAATAATATGAGCCAAAATTTGTAGGATTTATCTTGCAACAATGAATTTTTGAGGCAGACAATCTTATCTCTTTTCAACAGTCTATAGCATGTTTCATGTTTACTGGAACATAAGATTTACTTATTTACTTTCTTGGATAAAAAACCAATCTCTCCCATAAAATCAGTTCGTCGATCCCTTACCTCCGATGATCTAATTCGACGATGTGCCTCCGACGTTCATCATACGTCAGTTAATTACAAGGAGAACCTGCATCCAGAAGTCACACATGCCACGCCAATGGCGTTTGTCATGAGAATGAAGAGGAGAGAAAACATTTAAAGGCGCCAGGCAGATTCAGTCACTAGTCAAACAATTTAACAAGCCTTACAGTTGAGTTGAAGACATCCTTGCATGCTGTATAGCGGTATTTTGACATGGAAACAACAATAAAGTGGTACACTCCTGTTCACTGGAACTTTTGCATTACGAGTAATTAAGGTGTTCTGTGTATTATCATAATACTACATGATCCTGGATAGCAAAGCTAAAAAACATCCCTACCTATCCGATTTCTAGTATTTCGTTCACGCATGATTTCATGGTTACCTCACACCATCTGAAAGTATACTATTTCCAAATATACGCCATCGTTTCCATCGTCACCACATATGCTATACAAGGCTTTACATTAAGAGCAACCAAAAGAGATCCAGTGTCTTCCAATTGAAAAAAATCGTTTCTGGAAATATGATACATTTACATATATTATCGAAAGCATAGTTACTCGACTTATTAGAAGGCAAAGTTATTAGATATTCTATTTATATAAATGTGATCCGTGGCATGGCGAAGACTTCGCTGCCAAATGAGGAGAAACCAAGTCACTTCAACCCTTGAAGTTGTGTATGCTCAATATGTCTCAAATGTGAAATAGTTTTTAATTTGTCTGTAGGTAGATGCTACGGATATGCATGATGTCGTAATAATTCCGACTTCAACAGGGTAACCTGCATCAAGAACATGCCAGTTAATATTATCTATCACCTTGGAAGAAGGTATGAGGATGAAGTTTGAGGACGTTCATACAACAGGGTAAAGGATTGTGATGCATGAATCATACGTTACCCTAATGGTATGGTCTACATACCCCCTGCAATAAAAGAGTACAACTTAAAAATGACTCTGGTAACACACACCTTTAACACAGTTCTGTATAAAGGCATATCATAGAAACATAAGCCTTTGCTACCATTGATGATCTGGTAAAATATTGCAATACTTTTATCAATAAAGGCATGGTACTTTATGAATGACTACTCCTATACTCTCTGCTATGATACGACATATATCTTGAACAGTGTCACGTACAATGTCACCGTGTTGGTACTGTATTAATCACCGGTATCCAGTGTTATCGCTGCTAAATCTTTCATGCATTTCACTTGCTGCTTTTGTTCTGTTAGATGTATGAGTCCGTTCTTGCCGTGGAATGTCACTGTTTATTGAGAGGGGTATAAGAATCTATACAGAAACGTCGTAGCATAATAGTCATAAGCTGTCCCCCACACAGTATAATGGCTTTATAGTTACTCTTCTTATTGTGACTTCTAAAATGCCAATCAAAGAGTGAGTGAGTGAGTATGGTTTTACGACGCTTTTAGCAATATTCCAGCAATATCACGGCGGGGGACACCAGAAATGGGCTTCACACATTGTACTCATGTGGGGAATCGAACCCGGGTCTTCAGCATGACGAGCGGACGCTTTAGCCACTAGGCTACCCCACAGCCCGCCAATGAAAGAGATAACTCGTACATCGTCGTTAACAGGGGATTCCTGTGAAGAGGAGGTATCATACTCCACATTGCCTTCTTCAGAAGCTTCGAAAATGGGTATGACGTTTGCAATGTATACATGCTTGTATTGGCGGTATGTCTTTATAAGAATCGCTGCTCATGCTATCGACCATTGATTGTTCAGGCCTCACACTTAAACGACGACATTGTATAATAACTGTGCATGCGTAGAAAAACAACAGTCACTCACTTGTGTAGCAAGAAATGACAGCAGTGTCGAGTCTCGTTCTTAGACACTGTTCGATAAATTCTTGACACAACTCTTACCATAATCATAAAACGAATAGGAATCTATTAGTCGATGCACGTTAAAAGCACACGAAAGCCAATTCACGTATTGCTGTGGAGATTTAATGTCGTAAAGTCAGAGGTGCTGTCTTCTAGAAACTCGTATATCAAATGGCATCGGGAAGAACATATGTCTAGCTTCACCGAGACCTGTTATTTAACACTGGAAAAGTACATACATTTGAAATTTCTCTGGTTTGTTGGATTTCGTATTTATTTCAAAATATCCAATTGTCGTGTAAACCGATAAAGATCACATTCTGTTGCTTTCTACAAAATATGACATATGTTGACTTAATTATCCGAGCACAGCTTCCCCAATGGATACGTGTATCCGGCTGAATCAGCAGTACCAATATTGTAATAAAGACATAACGAAATGATCACAAGCAAGTAACGAGTTTTTCAATGCAATTGTCTCCATTCGCTCTCATTTGACATATTGACTGAGACTTTATTATGGTTTATATGCCGAACATTTCATGATCATGTTTATATTGTTTCTGAGAGTATAGGACCAGCAGTTCGTGTGTGTTTTCATCAGACCAGCCACCTGATAATAATAAAATGTAACATCTATTGCAGTAAAGAATTAGTAATATTCTAGAAATAGAATACACATGGCCATATTTTGATCGCGAAGTATGGCATTTAGTCAGCACTATAAAATATTATTCATTATAAGAGTGACAGTGATCAGTAAGTATTTATGTCTACTGTCACTCTAAGAATATCGGACAAAGTGTAACTTGACAAAAGTAGAAGATACTTCTTTAATTTATTCCCATCCTAAGCTTACTGGACAAAAGTAACTTACAATATGTATTGTCCGTCTATGAGTATCGGGCAGGAGTAAATACTTATATTCATTGTCAGTCTGGGGAAGCTGAGATAAGTAAGTACATAATATATATTTAAATTTGTCTAAGAGTATCGGACAAAGATAGTAATACACATGTTTATTGTCATTCTAGGAGAACTGGACTAAAGTAAGCTATTATATTAATTGTTATTTTAAGAGTATTGGACAAAAAAGTAAGTGATTGTACTTATTGTTCATCTGAGACTATTGGAAAAAGTACGCAATCATATTTATTGTCAGTCTAAGATCACAGGACTCAAGTAAATAATTATTTTTATTGTCAATATCTAACCGTATTTGGCAAAAGTAAGTAATTGTATTCATGTTAGAAATACTGGATACAATGAAGTAAAGCTATATCTATTGTCAGTGTTATTGTAGGTGACACTAAGTCCATGTTCCGTTCAATCATTTAACGGAACGCTTCAGAAGATGTCCACGTAGGAAGGCTTGAGCGTCCTGCATGAGCGATGGGGAGGCCCATCCTAACACATGCGGATTAAAATCCTTTCCATTTCAACTACAAACATTATTGATCATGCGCTTCAATCCTCTGCAGTAAAAGGCGAGGTGCGTATGCCGTCAGCTTTGCTTAAACTTTCATTTATACATAATGATTCGCTTCTTGGGGAAATTGCCCATGGGAGCGATTCCATCTTTTATAAGCTGGACATGTTAACCTCCGATATCCTCATTTAGATCTCTCTATGAGTCATTGACTCGGATTCAAAGTCGGTTTACATGCAAACGTCATAACACAATCCGTGAGACGACACCACGGAATATCGCAGCGCCAATATTTGCTTAAATACACACGGTGCCTCCACTGACAGGCTTTAAGTGAGGAGAAATCAGTGATAATAATCGTGTTTGCTCCAAACAAGCAGAAGCATTAACTTGCACAATTGTGGCAAAAACATTCGTGGTGATTCTCATAATCGTATGCTATTCACAGACCAACAGACACAATACAATACGTGATATGAATTGTCAATGTTGCTACTGACTACCTACTGATCTGACCAGCGACTGTATTGTGTGTCAATACATCAAATGTATGCGACGTCAAGATGTGGACATACAGTACGTGACACGCCGTCATGATAAGGGGAGACAACTTGTTGACACTACGCCATGGTGAGAGGTGTGACATGTAGGTGTAAGAATGTGTGGCATGTGACAGTGTGTCATGACCTGGGGAGACAATGTGTGTTATCATTTCATAACGTGCAGTAGACAGCCTGTGGGACGTTATGACATAATCGTCATAATCGAGTAGAGACACCCTCACGTAGCCATATAGCGTCATGGTCCTGAGATGACAAGTGTTTTAATTGCGTCATGATTAGAGGTGGAACGTGTGAGACATCCCGTCATGATTAGAGGTGGAACGTGTGAGACATCCCGGCATGAACAGAGGTGGAACGTGTGAGACATCCCGTCATGATTAGAGGTGGAACGTGTGAGACATCCCGTCATGATCAGAGGTGGGCCGTGTGAAACATCCCGTCATGAACAGAGGTGGAACGTGTGAGACATCCCGGCATGATTAGAGGTGGAACGTGTGAGACATCCCGGCATGATCAGAGGTGGGCATGATCAGAGGTCAGAGGTGGAACGTGAAACATCCCGTCATGATCAGAGGTGGAACGTGTGAGACATCCCGTCATGATCAGAGGTGGGCCGTGTGAGACATCCCGGCATGATCAGAGGTGGGCCGTGTGAGACATCCCGGCATGAGCAGAGGTGGAACGTGTAAGACATTCCGTCATGATTAGAGGTGGGCCGTGTGAGACATCCCGTCATGATCAGAGGTGGGCCGTGTGAGACATCCCGTCATGATTAGAGGTGGGCCGTGTGAGACATCCCGGCATGATTAGAGGTGTCCCGGCATGATCAGAGGTGCGAGACATCCCGGCATGATCAGAGGTGGAACGTGTGAGACATCCCGGCATGATCAGAGGTGGGCCGTGTGAGACATCCCGTCATGATTAGAGGTGGGCCGTGTGAGACATCCCGTCATGATTAGAGGTGGGCCGTGTGAGACATCCCGGCATGATCAGAGGTGGGACGTGTGAGACATCCCGTCATGATCAGAGGAGGAACGTGTGAGACATCCCGTCATGATTAGAGGTGGAACGTGTGAGACATCCCGGCATGATTAGAGGTGTGCCGTGCGAGACATCCCGGCATGATCAGAGGTGGAACGTGTGAGACATCCCGTCATGATCAGAGGTGGAACGTGTAAGACATCCCGTCATGAGCAGAGGTGGAACGTGTGAGACATCCCGTCATGATCAGAGGTGGGACGTGTGAGACATCCCGTCATGATTAGAGGTGGAACGTGTTCGACATCCCGTCATGAGCAGAGGAGGAACGTGTAAGACATCCCGGCATGATTAGAGGTGGAACGTGTGCGACATCCCGTCATGAGCAGAGGAGGAACGTGTAAAACATCCCGGCATGATCAGAGGTGGAACGTGTGCGACATCCCGTCATGAGCAGAGGTGGAACGTGTGAGACATCCCGGCATGATTAGAGGTGGAACGTGTGCGACATCCCGTCATGAGCAGAGGAGGAACGTGTAAGACATCCCGGCATGATCAGAGGTGGAACGTGTGAGACATCCCGTCATTAGCAGAGGAGGAACGTGTAAGACATCCCGTCATGAGCAGAGGTGGAACGTGTGAGACATCCCGGCATGATCAGAGGTGGAACGTGTGAGACATCCCGGCATGATCAGAGGTGGAACGTGTGAGACATCCCGTCATGATCAGAGGAGGAACGTGTGAGACATCCCGTCATGATCAGAGGTGGGCCGTGTGAGACATCCCGTCATGAGCAGAGGTGGAACGTGTGCGACATCCCGTCATGATCAGAGGAGGAACGTGTGAGACATCCCGTCATGATCAGAGGTGGGCCGTGTGAGACATCCCGTCATGAGCAGAGGTGGAACGTGTAAGACATCCCGTCATGATCAAAGGTGGAAAGTGTGAGACATCAAGGCACAATCAAAGGTGGAAAGTGTGAGACATTCAGGCGCGATCCAAAGGTAACGTTACTGTCGATAAGTGACATGCTGGTAAACATCAAGAATATGACATATATGATATCACAGGTGTGTTAATATAACACACAGTAACTTGCTAAACACACACCGTCGGAATTTGAAAGTCTAGATTAACAGTCTATTTCATAGTTACGGCTGTTGATTAAGATATGACAGTCTGCATTCGATATTTTGCTACATCATCATCTTCAGGCAGATTTGGTCAATCTTAATACTTCTCTTGCCTGAGGGGGCAACTCTCCACACACCTATATTGGTGCTGATTCCTCCGACCCTTCTTTAACTGTACTCCAGTCTAGGGTTGTAATGACATGTTCCTGGCGTTAATTGGTATCTTTAAACCCGACAAAGATATTTGGTGATGAGCAGACGCTCGCGCACAGTTAAGATGGCACTCTATTCAAGTAGAAGCTAACATGCTCTGGGCAGATTTATGATCGGGGCTTAAACTATTGTGGTTTTTAATTCCTGGATCTAAACAAATTAGCTGGTTTTATCGAGGAAGTGAGGAGTGTTGGTCGCCTCGCGGCGGCATCATCGACGCAACGTGGCGGCAGGCGGTTCCGTGATAGATGACTTTATGTAATTGGCGGCCGTGTGGCCGGGTGTGCGATGAGGCTGAAATGGTTGCTTTATTGGTGGAAGGTTAGCGCAACTGATAAATCTACAGGCCAACACCGGCCGTAGCATAGTCTCAGTCTAATAGCTAACGATAGTAAATCGAACTTCATTAACTACTCCCAGCCAGTCATCAACTGCTGGTAAAATGATAAAAGTCAATAAAACGACCTGTCATTTCAAAACAGCAGTAATAATAGGAGTCCTAATTCCCGTTGCTACCAATCAACACTTGGGTGCAGTTGTACCTCATCTCCTTGAGTGGACTGTCACTTAAGAAAGACTGTGACAACGTGCCAGGGATTGATTGTAGACGTATCACTGGAATACTTGTGTGTTGTCTGTCAACAAACTCGTTCATAGCGCCTTGGTAGTGTTGGGGTGTCAGATATTGCAGGTAATGTTGGTATGACACATAGTTTGGTTGAGCAGAGATGACACAAGTTACAGGTAGTGGAGAGATATCACGTGTTACAGGTAGTGGAGAGATATCACGTGTTACAGGTAGTGCAGAGATGACACATGTTACGGGTAGTGCAGAGATGACATATGTTACAGGTAGTGTAGAGATCATACATGGTACAGGTAGTGCAGAGATCATACATGTTACAGGTAGTGTAGAGATCATACATGTTACAGGTAGTGCAGAGATCACACATGTTACAGGTAGTGTAGAGATCATACATGGTACAGGTAGTACACAGATCACACATGTTACAGGTAGTGTAGAGATCACACATGTTACGGGTAGTAGAGAGATATCACGTGTTACAGGAAGTCGAGAGATCACACATGTTACAGGTAGAGTAGAGATCACACATGTTACAGGTAGTACACAGATCACACATGTTACAGGTAGTACACCGATCACACATGTTACAGGTAGTACACAGATCACACATGTTACAGGTAGTGTAGTGGTGCTGCAGATAGTATTACAGCTGTAGGTAAATGCTGCTATCTTTTCCGATAAACATTTCCTTGGGATGTGTCTGTCAGAACGACATGCCTTACATCTGGCATTATTAGCTCCAGATTACATACCGAGTTGGCCACAGATTATATGAACATATCTGCTGCATCTACTGATTACATATCTGTCTGAGCTACAGATTACATGCCTGGGCGACTTGCAGAGAATTTTAATATGTAAGTCACCGCTACAAATAAAAAAGGCAAAACGGTGCTCGTACGACTCGAACGTAATCCCTTTATAACAAGCCATGCGTTCCTAATATTAATTAAAAGTATTTGACTGAAATAGACGCCGTGTCGGAATTGTCCAGATCGGAGTAGTGCTGATTGAAGTTTATGACGTATAGACGGGGGACAAAGTTCCACCTGGAAAGCACTCATAGCTACGCTGAGAAGTTGACAGGGACTGTATAATGCGTGTGACAGGTTAACAAGGTACATTTTGTAGACCTGTAGAAAGAGCCCTCTCATAGCACACACACACATTGGGGTAGAAGGTATTAAACGAGCTTCACGTAACACGCAGCCGAAGTCGAGGAGAGATGAGGTTACTTACAAATTATATAACAGGATGTCGGGAAGCCAGATCTTGTCAGATGGGATGCGGATGTCGGTTATGTTGTCGTATTCCTCCTTCTTCCACGCCAACAGAACGTCCTGCCACTCCTGAAACAACAATCACATATGTCACACGCCAACAGAACGTCCTGCTAACCCTGAAACAAACATCACATATGTCACACGCCAACGGAACGTCCTGCCAATCCTGAAACATCCATCACACATGTCACACGTCAACAGAACGTCCTGCCAATGTGAAACAACCATCACATGTCACGCCAACAGAACGTCCTGCCTAACCCTGAAACAACCATCCATCACATGTCACACGCCAACGGAACGTCCTGCCAATCCTGAAACATCCATCACACATGTCACACACCAACGGAACGTCCTGCTAACCCTGAAACAACCATCACATATGTCACACGCCAACAGAACGTCCTGCCAATCCTGAAACGACCATCACATATGTCTTAAACCCGCCAACAAGAACAGGTTCTGCCAACGTCGGGTCACACGCCCTGAAACAACCATCACAGGTCACACGCCAACAGAACGTCCTGCCAATCCTGAAACAACCATCACATATGTCACACGCCAACAGAACGTCCTGCCAATCCTGAAACAACCATCACAGGTCACACGCTAACAGAACGTCCTGCTAACCCTGAAACAACCATCACATATGTCACACGCCAACAGAACGTCCTGCCAATCCTGAAACAACCATCATATGTCACACGCCAACAGAACGTCCTGCTAACCCTGAAACAACCATCCATCACATACAGAACACGCCAACAGAACGTCCTCCTGCTAACCCTGAACCACACATATGTCACACGCCAACAGAACGTCCTGCCAATCCTGAAACAACCATCACGGGTCACACGCCAACAGAACGTCCTGCTAACCCTGACACAATCATCACATATGTCACACGCCAACGGAACGTCCTGCCAATCCTGAAACATCCATCACACATGTCACACACAACGGAATGTCCATCACATATGTCACACGCCAACTGAAACAACCATCACATATGTCACCCGCCAACTGAACGTCCTGCCAATCCTTAAACAACCATCACAGGTCACACGCTAACAGAACGTCCTGCTAACCTTGAAACAACCATTACAGGTCACACGCCAACAGAACGTCCTGCCAATCCTGAAACAACCATCACGGGTCACACGCCAACAGAACCTCCTGCTAACCCTGACACAACCATCACAGGTCACACGCCAACAGAACCTCCTGCTAGCCCTGAAACAACCATCACGGGTCACACGACAACAGAACGTCCTGCTAGCCCTGGAACAACCATCACAGGTCACACGCCAACAGAACGTCCTGCTAACCCTGACACAACCATCACACATGTCACAGATATACAAATGTATCACAGATACACATAGTGTCATAGATACATACAGTTCCATAGATATACACAGGTTTCATGCATACACACGTGTCACCGACACTCACCTGTCATAAATATATAGATACGTGTCAGAGATAAGTGTACACATTATCGCATTTACTCACAAGTAGTAAACACACTAGAGTTCACATCCCGACCCCTTACAAACGCAATATATGTATTCATTACCTAGGAAGGCGAAAATATCGGGGTTCATATTTTTCATACGATGCCATAGGGCAAAACATCATTTTGTCATGCTGACGTGACGTCATCAACAATAACGTCACGTTTCTTTTATGACGTTGCGTTCTACATGCGGCGACGTCGAGTAGCCGGCCTATGTTGGAAAGTAGATTTAAGGTTTAATATCCTCAATTTGACGACTTCGGTAATAAATAGAACATTTTATTCGTGCCCATATGATACTATGTTTACGACACGAGTGCCTAATTGTTGGCATTTCCCGAGCAAGAGCGAGGGATATACCGATATTTAGGCACTCGTTTAGCAAACATAATATGACATGGACACTCATAGAATATCCTCTCTATATATGCCTTACATACAGATGTGTCATGTATGTACAGCCACCTTATTAGTGAGACGTGCTGAGAAAGTACTATATACGTACATGACTCAGTAACACACGGTTATCTGTAGTCGGTGCGTACCAGAAACATGATTCCCACTGGAGTTTAAAATGTCAAAGTTGTACATCTGCACTCGGGAAGTCTGTACATATAGTTACAAATCATAAACAATTGTTTGTTTTGGCTCAGTTTTCTTTCGACTTTAAGTCGAGGGTGTGTGTCTGCTGACTTGATATACTGCGGAAACAGTGCTGGCTGGCGTGGAAATATTATCTGACGAGGAAGGAATGTCTGCGTGCGTTTAGGTGATTTGCAAAAACTACCCATCCCAAAAATCTCTTTAGGAACTTTCCAATACTTGCAGCGTCCGGATGATAGCCTTCACAACTTGATGACAGGCCTATAAGGAAGGGAATTGTCCCTGGCTTCGTCATAACTCATTCTGATCAGAAACCCAATTTAATTACAAGAGCTGTCACGACAAGGTGTGCGTATCCATTCATACATAACTCACATACATAGATACTCATTCATACAGGAAACATATCTACTAGGTAGTGACCATTCCTATTACGCAGTAATTATACACATGGCAGATTGACATCAATACTGGCCACAGATAGTCAGCCTGTTTGAGAGTAATTGGTCACGCATGCGCTACATACCTCTGAGTACGTTATGCACGAAGTATTATACATGTGATACTATTTTGTCATATTCATAAAGAAGGTAATATTTCATTCAGATAACATGTATATTAGACCGTGGTCACAATCGATAGGCTATTTGTCATGCAAGCGACATTTTACGGAGATCTGTTTGTTTAAGTAGCATACGCAATGTATAGTAATTATCCAGACAGGTGGCAATATATTGGCTATTAATAATTCATACAGGTGCTATAGGAGATGGACAGGAGTCTCACGCATTCGGCCATTATTATCAAGAGCCTTTCTACAACACGGATATTATTGTCGTAAATAAACACTGCAGCAACATCTGCGATGTTCTAACGTCCTTGTTTCCAGGCCATATAGCGTGCAGTCAGTTTTGATTGAGGGTGAAGCCATATACTCCCATGGGAGCTGAGATGCGATACAAGTTAGCAATACTGGTGTCATGCGCTGTAATTGTATTCTATTCTGTGGTATTGTAACGTGTACATTGGTTACTATTGAGCCTCCCAAAGTCTACGTCAGCTTTCATGTTTATGGTAAATAAAGTCTTTTAAGACTATCAACCACTGTATGCCAGAGAAAAAGTATGAATCGTTTTGCTAAATAACAAAGACACGGGCATTCGTCAATGTTGAAAGGTTCTGTGGCTTTTAAGGATATTATCATCAGTAAATTTATGAGAGTTTTCTCATTGCGAAAACCTTGTTCCTATATCATTATCCATATATGTAAATGACTGAATAAACTATGTTTACATCATGCATAACAGTTAACCCGGGTCGAATGAATGCACGACGATCTACCGTGACGGGCAATTGCATATACTCTCCTTCGTGGACACTACGTAAGTCATAGGATGACTTCATCTCCTTCCTCTAATCAAGCACATCCCCTTAACTGATATCGAAGGACCCACAAGAATTTGCTCTGTAATGTAATGGCCACAGTGTCATAACACAAGGACAGCTTGCACAAAATACGGGGTTGTTGGGACAGCTTGCACAAAATACGTTTTTTGGGGGGACAAGTGGCACAAACCACCGGGCTGTTGTTACAGGGTGTACAAAATACAGGGTTGTTGGGGCAGCTTGCACTAAACACAGGGTTGTTGGGACAGGTAGCACAAAACACAGGGCTGTTGGGACAATTTGCACAAAACACAGGGTTGTTGGGACAGGTAGCACAAAACACAGGGTTGTTGGGGCAGGTTGCACAAAACACAGGGCTGTTGGGACAATTTGCACAAAACACAGGGTTGTTGGGACAGGTAGCACAAAACACAGGGTTGTTGGGGCAGGTTGCACAAAACACCGCGTTGTTGGAACAGGTTCCACAAAACACAGGGCTGTTGGGACAATTTGCACTAAACACAGGGCTGTTGGGACAGGTCGAACAAAACACAGGGTTGTTGGGACAGGTTCAACAAAACACAGGGTTGGTTGGACAGGTAGCACAAAACACAGGGTTGTTGGGACAGGTTCCATAAAACACAGGGCTGTTGGGACAATTTGCACTAAACACGGGGCTGTTGGGACAGGTTGCACAAAACACAGGGTTGTTGGGACAGGTTCCACAAAACACAGGGTTGTTGGGACAGGTTGCACAAAACACAGGGCTGTTGGGACAGGTTGCACAAAACACAGGGTTGTTGGGACAGGTTGCACAAAACACAGGGCTGTTGGGACAGGTTGCACAAAACACAGGGTTGTTGGGACAGGTAGCACAAAACACAGGGTTGTTGGGACAGGTAGCACAAAACACAGGGTTGTTGGGACAGGTAGCACAAAACACAGGGCTGTTGGGACAGGTTGCACAACACACAGGGTTGTTGGGACAGGTTGCACAAAACACAGGGTTGTTGGGACAGGTAGCACAAAACACAGGGTTGTTGGGACAGGTTGCACAAAACACAGGGTTGTTGGGACAGGTAGCACAAAACACAGGATTGTTGGGGCAGGTAGCACAAAACACCGCGTTGTTGGAACAGGTTCCACAAAACACAGGGCTGTTGGGACAATTTGCACTAAACACAGGGCTGTTGGGACAGGTTGCACAAAACACAGGGTTGTTGGGACAGGTTCCACAAAACACAGGGTTGTTGGGACAGGTAGCACAAAACACAGGGTTGTTGGGACAGGTTGCACAAAACACAGGGTTGTTGGGACAGGTTAGCACAAAAACACAGGGTTGTTGGGACAGGTTCCACAAAACACAGGGTTGTTGGGACAGGTTGCACAAAACACAGGGTTGTTGGGACAGGTAGCACAAAACACAGGGTTGTTGGGACAGGTTGCCACAAAACACAGGGTTGTTGGGACAGGTTGCACAAAACACAGGGCTGTTGGGACAGGTTGCACAAAACAACACAGGTTGCACAAAACACAGGGCTGTTGGGACAGGTTGCAC